AACTGTCAAAACAACATGCAGCCACCTACCTCAAAGAGAAACCTCAGAACAAGAGTTAAAAGACTAGTTAGGAGGAATTTTTTAGTACTATTAATCAAGGAATGTTGACTTAGATACTCCTGTTCCTATGCAATTTGCGTCATTTGTATACCAGAACTAGTAACCACAGTTGCAGCTTAACATTTGATTTATAGGGCAGTGTGTTTGAATGCATAACACTAGAATCAGAGAAAGCCTACAGTGTGGGAGTAGGTCATTTGGCCCATCAAGTTCATACAGACCCTCTGAAGACCATTCCACCCTATCTTTGTAACCCTGCATTTCCCATGGCTAATCCACCCTAACCTGCACATCTTTGGACTGTGGGAGGAAACCGGAGCACCCAGAGGAAACCCACGCAGACACAGGGAGAATGTGCAAACTCCACACAGACAGTCACCTGAGGGTGGACTCAAACTCTGGGTCCCTGGTGCTATGAGGCAGCAGTGCTAATATGGAGCTGTCCCAAGCAGGAAAGTATCAGCCTTGATCATGTCTTCAATGCCTGGAGTGGGGCCTAAGTTCACAAGTTACCAACTCAAATTCAACTGTGGCACAAAATGAAGGTAAATTCTCATTTAAAACCAGTGATATTTCCAAGTCAGCATGTTGAGTGGCTAGGAGGGAAACTTGCAGGTGGTGGTGTTCCCATGTATCTTCTGACCTTATCCTCCAGCAGTAATGTTTATCTTATCTTTCGTGACTTAAGAAGCTGGGTATGATATTGTAGACTTGAAAAAACCATTAATTATGATCATAAGAATTATTACAACTAGCTGTAATATGCAAATATTATATTCATAGGAACACAGTGTCCGTGGTCACAGTTAGCTTTCGACGATGCTGTTGAAGGAGCGCTGGTGATGTGCTGCAGTGCATCTTGTGGACAGTATACACTGCTGCTACTGAGTATTGGTGGCAGCATGAGTGAATATTTAAGTTGGGTGTAACAATCAAGTGGTCTGTTTTATCCTGATAGAGTGAGCTCCTTCAATTTTGTTGGAGATGCACTCATCTAGGCAGGTGAAGTATTGCATCACATTCCTGACCTGTGCATTGTAGCTGATGGACTTCATAGAATCCCAACAATGTGGAAATAGGCCATTCAGCCCATCGAGTCTGCAACAATCCTTCAAAGAGCATCCCACCCAGACCCACATCCCTACCCTATAACCCTGCATTTGCCATGGCTAATCCGCTGAACCTGCACATCTTCGGACTGTGAGAGGAAACCAGAACACAGACACGGGGAGAATGTGCATACTCCACACAGACAGTTGCCACAGGCTGGTATTGAACCCAGGTCCCTGGCGCTGCAGGGTTGCAGTGCTAACCACCGGACCACCTTGCTACCCCTTGTTGCAAGATTCCCAGCTTTTAGCTGGCTCCTGTAGCCACAGTATTTACATGACTAGTCCGGTCAGTTTCAGTTCAGTCTACTGCTGTAATGTGAGATAGCAGTGCCCTGTGAAATTAACCCTGCTCCTTTAGATAGATCAGGTGGACAGTAAGGTCCATTAACATAATTTGGAAGATCAGAAAGTACCTACAGTGTCCTCTCTCCACTAAAAGTTATTTAACCAGTTTTTAAGTCTCTGCCTGCTTGACCTACATTACCACAGCCACCGCTTTAATAATTGAACATCTTGAGGGATATCTGAGATCTGAAGATTGTAGTTAACCACAAGTTAATTTGGACACATTATCCTTCAGTGATAGCAAGCATTCAGCATTTCCAGAAGTATTTGGAAGTTATATCATTCAGTAGTTAGTATTAAAATTTCACATATAATGGATAATTCAAAAGGAAGAACTGATACACTGAGTCATTGCAGAAGATTCATACCCTTCTCAAAGCCCTGTCGCCACTGACATTTCCCGGTCAATGTGCCAAGACCGCCACATTCCTCACATTCAGCGCGTTGCCTGTTTGTCGCACAGATTTTGGGACAATTGTTATTTCTGTCTGTGTCTGGAGAGAGAAGAAAACTCAATTAATTCCATCTATTTGCAACCAGGGTTTAAATCCTGCTTTGTCAGCTGAGTAAAGCATTCACATATTGTTACTTTAAATGATCAAATAGGGTCATTTCAGGTTAAGGACATGCAACACTTGAACTGTAAAGAGGAATGAGACTTCAATTGAATAAATAATGACACTGGCATAGGCTTAAAATTACAAAATACTCTAATTAACTTAATTAAACTACATTTCAAAATCACAAGGATATGAATAGCACACTGACTGTGAATTTACAAGTGGATCCACCAATGAAAAGCGAAACCTAAAAATGACCTCCTTCAATTCGGCTCAGTTTAGAAATGCCCTGCAGAAACTGAATCTTCCTAAACGATGGGGTGGTTGGCCTATCTCAGGAGTATTAGGATTCGGAAAGTTAGCAGTGTTCTCCGCTGAGGGCTGAGAGGAGATTTGATTGAGGTGTTCAAAATCAGGATAGGTCTGGACAGAGTAGAGATGGAGAAATTGTCCCCAGTCATGAAAGGATCGGGATTGAGAGGGCACAGGTTCTAAACTATGGAAAAGGAGCAAAATCATTGAGAACAATCACTTCACACAGCCTCTAAATTCCAAGATGGCGGCAGAGTAGGACACCTCAGCTGGAGCTTGTCTGCTCCGTCCGTTCCTTTTCTTTCTCTTCTCCTTTGATTTTCCTTCTTTCTTCTTACCTTCTATCCGTGAGCCTCGAGTGAAGTCATCGCGGCCTCAGCGCAGATTCCCGGTCTTCAGAGCCTTTAGGTGAAGACAGCGCGGACTCCCAGCACACTCAGCCTCGAGGCAAGGTCTTGTGTGGTCTGGAGGCTAGGCGCCAGTGTGGACTGGGTTGGAAGGACTGTTCTTCTGAACTTTTTATCTCTTTAGTTTTCTAATTTATTTCCATGATTTTCTCTTTTGTACCTAAGGAGGTACAAATGCTGGGCTTTTTATTTCTTTATTTTTCAAATCATTTTTCGCTAAGAATTTGTACTTAAGGATCTGTATCTAGATACTTTTGCACCTAAGGTGGTGCCGTAAGTGGTGATTTGTAAACTTTTCACTTTACTCGTGTGAGTGCGTGTGTTAATAAATCTAACTCTAAGTGGTTAAGGTCTGCAATCGACTGCCTGAGAAAAGCAATGGAGCAGATTCAGTTTACATGTGGAGCTGAAGTTGTATATGGCCATCACCACTGCCTGGGCAGTAACATGACAGAGCTGATTTCTCAGTCTATACTTTTTTATCCATGTAATTTTTATTCTATCATGTCATTAATAATGAGTTCTACAAAGGTGGCAGCATATAGGTACTAGACGTGACTTTGTAACAATTGTGCCTGTTTTAGTCTCTCTAGAGAAAACTCTGTAAGAAGTGATTTTTAAGACCTTGGATGACAGCAGAATGAATCTACGACATTGCAATCATTTATGGGCAATGGGATAACGTGGACTGAATTGAGGGCTTTTCTTGGGGTTATTGTCGTCAGTCTGTGTAAGTTTTATGCAGAAGAATCTTCGGTTAGCTCCCATAGTGATAACATTGTATTATGTTGTAACAGGGCACCGCCCTATTGTCAATCACTGGGCTACAATACAGGATCAAATATTGCTCAATTCAGCAAATTTACAAACAGGATTAGGTGCAACTAGTGGTTAAAGTATAAAATTAGCATCCCAGAAGCTTTGACGAAGGATCCAGAGAATCCAAGTTCAAATCTCACCTTGGCATTTTTAGAATACTGAAAATTAAAAGTGGTGCCAGCAAAAATGAGGAAGTCATCAGCACCCCCTGACTCTAAGCTCCAGGTTTGAGTCCCATCCCTGGATCTGAGGGCCAAAGAACGTACACTCATTATTGTAGACAAACATGTTGATTATTGACCTGCAAATCCTTCCAATGCACACCAACAGCAGGCAGTGAGCGTGGGAGAGATTCCTGGCCAGCAATGTGATGAAAAGAAACTTGGAGCCCTCCCATCACTAAATTAGCTCCAGATTACAGCATGTATGTTGCCACAGCAACTGGCACTCCAGGAGTGGAACACCATCAGTAAAAGCAACCAGAGAGCTGTTCGATTGTTGGAAAAACCCAACTAGTTCACCAGCATCCTTTGAAGGGAATTTTACTGCTCTATACCTTGTGTGGCCTATATATGACACTAGTCCTACACCAATATGGCAGCCGTAAACTACACTCTGGAGTTGAAGCCACTCAGTTTTGATAAATTGTTACCACCTTCTCAGGTTAACTAATGATAGGGAATAAATGCCATCAATACTCACAAACTGAGAATTACTATTTTTTAAAAAAATTCCTTCGGAGCCCCCCTCACAAGCCCCATTTTGTGTTAACACAAACCCAGATGATTCCTTCTCCTGCCACTGTACAAACTCCATCTTTACTACATTAATAATTCCACAAGTTGCCCTTGATTCCAGATGAATCAGTCATTTTTGGAGGAATGATAACTTGGCAGCCCATTCTGTTAGAAATAAGAGCAGGAGTAGGCCATTAGCCCCTCAACCCTGTCTGCTATCCCTGCCATTTAGTAGATCATGGCTGATCTTCCAAATCAAATCCTGATCCATCTCATACCCCTCTTCCCTCCTTCCTCTCTCATTTGAAATCGAAAGTGTGGTCAGGGAAGGTCAGAGAGAGGAAAGCCAGAAGCACAAGTACTTACAAGAGCCTTCGAGCGTGACAATTATGCTAGCCTTAGCCACCTCTTTGCTCAAATACTCGTTGGCAATGATAATATAGTGAAGCCTGCTGCAGGAGCCTGTTCGCAACATTTTCACATCATTGATGTACAGGAATCCGAATATATCCTCAGCTCTCTTCAGGACCCCCATGATGGAAGAACAGTTTCTTTCTGGATGAGTGGCATTCTCCTCAGTCTGAATTAGGGGCACCAGTGTGTAGGTTATATTTAATGCTTGAAAGTTGTGGCAGTTTGCGATGCAAATCCTTCCAATCTGTAACACACAGTGGAAACAAGAAATAAGCATTCAGCATTCCGACAGATTATCATTCCCATCACCCAAGTGAAGGGTTCAATCCGCCCTCCAGATGTACAGTGGTGGAACTCTGGAATGAGCGTTGGCTTGCTACTCAGCCTGATGGGTGTGAGCGTCTTCTAGTCACTGCGTAGCTTGTGGTAGCTCATAGAAAATCCCACTGTATGGGATGAACACCCACATTAGTCAGAAGAAGTGCCTAGGTCATGGGCTGTCAATCAGATCCTTCACGCTCATCATCAGGAGGGGACTGTGGGACCATGGAAACAGGACATCACACCTACCGTGCAGGGCAAGAAGTATTTTGATTGGAATATTCCGAGCTCAGAGGTGAACTGCCAAATCATTTATTTTTATCCAATTTTTGGCCCAAAGTTTATTGGCATGCTACTTGTTTCCCAGTTCCCAATTAACAGAACGTGGAGTCATGACATTAAAGGAGGCCATTTGAGTCCCATTGGGTCTATTCTAACTCACTGTATGGCAATTCACTTCATCTCATCCCATCCCCTCTCACTCCATCCCTTCAAGTTTATTGCCTTCAGTTACCCATTTCCTCTAAAATAATTGATGTCTCCATCTCCAACGTGCTCTGAAGTGGAGGCTTCTAGATCATTCTCATCCTGTTACCATTTCGATGCTGAAATAAATAGCCAGATTCTAGAGTAGATTAGACTAATACCTGAGATGGGTGGATTGTCTTCGGAGAAAACGTCATACAGGCTCAGCTGGTATTGACTGGAGTTTGGAAGAGTAAGAGGCGAATTGTTTGAAACATACAAAATTCTAAGGGGTCTTGACTCGATGGATGTTCCATCTTCAAACTCGGAGCCACAGTCTAAGAATAAGGGGTAAGCCATTGTGATGAGGAAGAATTTCTTCACTCAGAGTTGGGAATCTGTGGAATTCCCTCCCACAGGAAGCTGTTGGGGCCAGTTCATTAGATATATTCAAGAGGGAGTCGGGCATGACTCTTGTGGCTAAAGGGATCAAGATGTATGGAGAGAAAGCGGGAGTGGGATACTGAAATTCCAAAATCAGCCATGATCATATTGAATGGTGGCACAGCTCAAAGGGCCGAATGGCCTGCCCCTGCACCTATTTTCGATGTTTCTATGTCTTATGGGAGAATCCAGGACTGTTTAAAAATTAGGCGTCCCCCAATTAAAACAGACATTAGGCAATTTTCTTTTCCTCAGAGGGTCGTGAGACTTTGGAACTCTCTTCCTGATTGGGCAGTGGAAGCAGAGTCCTTGAATATTTTTAAGACATAAGTAGATAGATTCTTGTAAGAAAGGAGGTGAAAGATTATTGGGGTTGACAGGAATGTGGATTTGAGGTTAGAATCAGATCCACCGTGATCTTATTGAATGGTGGAGTTGGATTGAGGGGCTGAATACTCTACTGCTAATTCCTTTTGTTCATATATTCTCAACACTACTCACCCAATAGTACAGACATAACTAAGAACCAAGATTAATTCAGCAACACCACACATCATCACAGAACATAGAACAGTGCAGCATAGGAACAGGCCCTTCGGCCCACCATGTTTGTGCTGACCGTGATGCTACTTTAACTATAACTATCTGCCTGTACCTGGTCTGTGTCCCTCTATTCCTTGCCTGTTTATGTGTCCGTCTAAATGCCTCATAAACATTGCTTTGTATCTGCTTCGACCACCACCCCTGGCAGCACGTTCCAGGATATTAGATTAGATTAGTTGTCTTTACTCATAGCTCTTAATTTTTTTTTGCGGTAGTTCTGATTTTGTCTTCCCGCTGTAGAATCTCCAATCACCGAAACAAAACAATTACCTTTGCGGATCGTCCGGCATTCCTGCTTAGTGAGAAATGGAACACTTTCTCAGTGAACTCGATAATGATTGGGCGGATGGTGACGTTGAAATGGAGCATCACTGAGCTGTTTGGGCCACTGTATTCTATATCATGGACCAGGACATCCAAACTAAATGACCGGTTCTCAGAGATTGATAGGTTTTTCTTCAGGATTAACTCTGAATAAAACACATCAACATACAGGGAATTACATGTAGTCTTGAGTACAGAACAGTCCACTCAGCCCAACTGGTCTAACCCAGCATTTATGCTCCATACAAGCCTCCTCACATACCTCTTTATATCAGCCTACCTCTGCATTGTCCACAATTAATTCTATAAGTGGATAAAGGTTATTGGTGTGTGATTATTGGCACACTTGGGATTGTTAGGCAAATACTGCAGAATTGCAGAATCACATCTGACAGGAAATGCAAGAAGAAACTCAAGGATAACGGATATCCAAAAAACTGGGTCAGAAGATGCCTACACGAGCAACATCAGGAAGATACTACACACCCCGACACACTCATCACACTACCCTACATCAGGAACATATCGGAACTAACCACAAGACTCCTTCGACCACTTGGCATCAGAGTGGCACACAAGCCCACTTCAACCCTATGACAGCTGCTCACCCGAACTAAAGACCCACTCCCCGCCATGGACAGGACCAATGTCATCTATAAGATTCCCTGCAGAGACTGTGAGAAACACTACATCGGACAAACAGGAAGGAAACTACAAGAGTACATGAACACCAACAGGCTACAAAAAGGCACGACGAATACTCACTCATCTCAATCCACATGGATAAGGAGAACCACCAATTCAACTAGGACAACACCAAAATCCTGGGACAAGCTAAGCAGAGACAGGCACGGGAATTCCTAGAAGCCTGGCACTCCACGAAGAAAGCCATCAATAAACACACAGAATTTGACCCCATATACACTCCACTACGAAGGTAAACCGGAAGTGAGGCAATCTAGCTCAACAGACTCCAGAGTTTAAAAACCAGGCGGGAAAACACACCAATGCTTCAGCGGAGGCTGCACTGATGATGTTACCCAGCATGGTAATGAAACGTCTACAGAACAACAAACCAGCTCAGCGAGCCAACCAACCTCAGGAAATGTTTTGCCAACAACCAATTTAAAGTTGAGCTGTTAACTTGGCTCATTTACATTTTCCAGATATCACATACATTCAGACACAAGGACCCGTTCTCTGCAAACCAATGAAGTACATTCAAGTCTTGTGCCTTTCTGGAATTAGCTGGGAGTTTGAGACAACTACAGGTCCTGTTGGTTTCTCAATGGCATCATTCTAGCTAATCAGAATCAACTGGCTAATCAATCTGTACCTTTTTCTCCCACAGCATAAATTGTTGTGATCAGTTGCAATTTGGCATTCTTGCATTTGTCCTGATGAGTGCAAGATGACAAACAGCGACAATATGCCCTTCTTTTCATCAAGATTCAAGCTCTACACAGTCTAGTGACCGGTCTCAATATTCCACATGTGGACCTGACACTGCCCACAAGCTGATCCCAAGATGTCAGTTAAATTTCTCAGCTACCTCTCAGTAGGAGTCAGGGTGTGATCATAATTCCTTAAGAATTTAGTACTGCCCTTAATTTGTATTTGCCATCCCAGTTTATCCTGGTCACTGGCCCAGATAATGTTTCTGAGACAGTAGGCACTGTCCTAAGTAGCTAATACTTCCTTTAAAAGTGGCCTGCAGAAAATAATTAAGTTGAAGTACAGAATCTTACAGAATGGTGGAATGCGTGGTGGATAGGGGCTAGAATAGGCCATTCATCCTATGTTCTTTCTTGCAATGAACAAGTTGCCTCCTGCAGAGAACTAGTGCCACATAATTTCAGCAAACATTGATCTGATTTCTCATTAATTCTGTCCTTCTCTGGTTCATCAAATTGCCGGAGGGGAGGGGGGGGGGGGGGTTTTGGGGGTGGGGGGGGGGGAGATGGTGGGTTATCAGTTTGCTGCATTGGCATAGAATTGCACCACTGACTGCCTCAGCACACCTCACCAGATTGAAGAGGGGGCAGTTTTTTATACAAAGGGAGACAGCAAAGTCCAGTTTAACATTGGCCAACAAAGTTAGCAGTCGAGGCATTTTTGGCCTCAAGTTTCATCCTGATGAGGGTCTTTCAGGCAAAGTACGACAGAGCTCGAAACAGTAAATGCCCTGTTTGCCAGTGTAGAGTTGTGTTGAGTCTGGACGTGGTGGTTAGCGTGATGTGGCCTGTGTGATTTTCCATGCATTATTTTAATGGATGCAGTATCTAGTGAGCGGGGTCAGAAGAATTTGAGAGGACGCCATAAAGCCCCTTGAGTCTGTTCCACCATTCTGTAGGATCAGAGTCAATAAATCTACTGTGTGTTTTCCAATGCTAAAAGCTCCACACCAAAGGGAGCACTTAGCAGAAAGATTTTCCCTAATCGGAAAGCTTCAGGCTGAAGGCCATGCTCTGAGTAAGATGTTGGTTCTCTAGCTGTCCTGCCAGCAACACAATCAGAGAAGGAGCGAGGGATGGAGGAGGATGGGGGGCTGGCAGTTTGGGAGAAATGCTATGAATCTGGACCAAGTTGTAAAGCTCATTATAAATACTGCACAGGTGAAATCATCCTTTCCCTTCAACCCAGAGCTGGTGACCTTCATATCACCTTCATATCAACGTGTCTCTCTCCGTTTCTCTCTCTCTCTGGCTCTCTGTTTCTCTGTCTCCCTCTTTTTCTGTCTATCTGTCTGTCTGTCTCTCTCTCTCTCTGGCTCTTTGTCTCTCAATCTCTCTGTTTCTCTGTCTCCCTCTCTCTCTGTCTATCTGATTTCCTGCCTCTCTCTCTCTGTCTCTTTGTCTTTCTCTCTCTGTCAGGCTCCATCTCTGTCTCTGTTCTCTTTCTTTCTGTCTCTGTCTGTATCTCTCTCCTTCTTTCCCTCTCTCTGTTTCTTGGTCTCTCTCTCTCTGTTTCTCAGTCTCTTTCTCTGTCTGCCTGTCTCTCTCTCTCTGTCTATCTGCCTATCTGTCTGTCTCTCTGTCTCTCTCCAAAAGACCAGGAACCATGGGATTTACAAAAGGCACAGCAACATCTCTGTCCAAAGTGAACTTGCCTCATGGGGTCCTGAGCTGAGATTTTGAGCTCGCAAGCTCCAAGGCAGAAACCCAGGCCCCTTCCCAGTCTCAAACCCTTCTCTCTGCCCCCTGCCACCCCCTGATCTGATCTCAGAGGCGTCTCAACAATTTGCAAGCCTCAAAATGGAGTGACAGTGGGACAACACTTTGGGAACCATTGGCCTGAACAGTCCCCCAGCCCCTACCCCTTTCTTATTCATCGGTTTTCCTTCCTTTGCGTGACAGCAAAGTGCCTGAAGCCAAAAAGAAACCCTACCACACCACATCCATCATTTTCCCATTTCAGATATTCATGGCCGTGCTGTGTATATTTCTGCATCCCAGAGTGGGAGGTCTCTCTCATTTCCGATTGCTGGAGCTGCGCATTGCCGAAGGATGTGTTTTCGGTGAGGGTTTACCATATTTGTTTACCGTCCCTCGAGCAGGGCTCTTGGTGCTGGCAGGTGTCTCCAGCGGCGTAGCCTTCACTCTGAAGTTGTCTGTGATCCAAGTGTCATTTCTCATCACTGTAGCTGTGTACTTGGTGGTGCTGTCTGTGTCATACACTGAGAGAGACACCACCACCGTGTTCTGCAAGATACAAACAGGTATAGAAGGGAGTGTAGCTCTTGAAAACGTAATGGCATAGATCTTGCATCTGAGCCGTGCTGTTAGGATGCATGACAGTAAGTTGGTAACACTTTCTACCCTCTCACCGAGGGCAATGGAAACAGAATAAGTGCTGCCCACTTGCCAAATTGTTAGAAGCAGTACTGTTCCCAAACACAAGGAAGAAAAGAACTAGAAACAGAGAAGAATAAAAACCCCTCCTGGATCAGGAACTAAAACAGAAGTTTCTGGAAAAGCTCAGCAGGTCTGGCAACACCTGTGAAGGAGAAAACAGAGTTAACATTTCGGGTCCGGTGACCCTCCCTCAGAACACCTCCTGAATGAGGATTTGCTAAGAGTGCGAATTAGGTAGGATGGTGGTGCTAAATTGAAATTCTATTATTTTATTTTTAATCAAACTGCTTGGACATGCAGTGAAACACTTCTAGGGGCAAGAGGGATTTGACTCAGACCTTCTGGCTCAGAGGAAGCGATACCACCACCACACAGCAGGAGCTCCAAGTCCAGTTACAATGAATCAAATTCATTTTAAGTATGGGTTTCTGATAAAAGATTTTAAATTGGCAATCTCCGCAGCCAGGAATTGAACCCAGGTCAATTGCTTGGAAGATAGCTATGGTCACCATTCTCCCATTGTAACTGTATACAAATTGTGTTTAATTATACACAGGGGAGCTAGTGGCATAATGATAATGTCACTGGACTTGTAATTCAGAGACTCCAGGCTAGTCGGCTGGGATGTGGGTTCAATTCCAAAAGTGGCTGATGGCTTAAATCTTAATTAACTTGAATTTAAAGGGGCAGCACGGTGGCTCAGTGGTTAGCACTGCTGCCTCACAATATCAGGGACCTGGGTTCAATTTCACCCTCGGCCAACTGTCTGTATGGAGTTTGCATGCTCTCCTTGTGTCTGTGAGGGTATCCTCTGGGTGCTCTGGTATCCCCCCACAGTCCAAAGATGTGCAGGTTAGGTGGATTGGCCGTGCTAAATTGCCTGTAGTGTTCAGAGATTGTAGATTAGGGGGATGGGTTTGAGTGGGATACTCTGAGGGTCGGTGTGGACTTGTTGGGCTGAAGGGCCTGTTTCCACACTGTAGGGATTCTATGACAAGTGGAGGGCATCGGTTGAAACCATAACTTGAACACATCTAAAGAGACAGAAACTGTGGAGTTAGGAGGTAGATGCTTGGAATGTTTTAGGCTGTAAACAAATGTAGTAATGAAGATCTGTTCTTGTAAAATCATTCACCAACTGTTTTTCCAAACAGAACACTAAACAAGTGAAGCAAGAGACAAACGAAAATGGAAAAGCAAAGAGACAAGGCAGAATTTAAAGAATCTAATTGAACACAGGACATTGGGTCTTTAAAAGCGAACTCCCTTAAAGGCAAGGCACACACTTACAACAGAAGGGGGTTGGTCTTTCTTCTATTTTCTCAAGGCAATTATCTTTAATTCAAACAGCTCTCATGTTACAAAGTGCGCCAGAATGGAACACTTCATAGATACTGTAAGATTTTGAATTTCCAGGCCCAAATTCTGGAAAGTTGTATCTGTTTCAACTCTGATTGATGTTGGGTGTAGTGAAGGCCGATAAGCACTGGCCAAGCACCAACCTATGAATGAGGATGAAGATTTTGTAGATGAGGCGTTAGAGAAGACAGCTCAGATTAGAATAGGCAATCACTGTTTATGGAAGAAGAACGTGGGTCTCTGTTAGAAAGGGGACCAGAGATGTGTTGGATGCATGGGGCAGGAGAAGTTCTTTTGTCATGGGGTTATCTCCACAGATAAGAGTACGGTTTTGTTAGAACTTTATTTATTGCATCGTAATACTAATTAATGTCACACATGGTAATCTGAGATATACCAAGCTCTAATTTTACTGTGACGTTACTAAAAAACATGTGCTTCTCTCTTCACCTCTACTTTCTATCGAACTAACTCCACCCACAGTGTGCCATTTATGCCCAGAGGGGCACAGCTCCAGGACATCGTTGCTTTGGAGCACTTTGGCAACAAAAGTCATCACCTTGGTGATTTCGAACACTTGGTCTCCGTTGGAAAGAGGGGATGTGGAGACTGAAAAGGTCATCATGATATATAAGGATAAACCATGATCTGCAGAAATAAAGCAGCCACAGACACGCGTGCGCACACACACACACACACACACACACACACACACACACACACACACAAGCACACGCACACAGACACAGACTCACACACACATGTACACGCACACAGACACGCATGCACACACACACACACACACACAGACACGCATGCACACACACAGACACACACACAGACACGCACGCACACACACAGACACACGCACACACACAGACACACACACACACACAGACACACACACACAGACACACACACACACACAAACAAAATCTCATCCAGACCTTGTAGGGAGTCCTACCTCTTTCCTGTTGAACTCAATAAAAGCCTCAGCTGTGTCGTTGCCATCAGGGAGGTATGGAGCATTGTCACCTTTGTCAAGGACAGTCACATGCAAGGACCTCCCAACCTGTGTCACTTGCACAGGTGTCCACAAGGTGCATCTGACAATCATTTCGTACGTCTCCCTCTGTTCCCTGTCCAGCGGCTTTTCCACACTGATCTCGGATGTCTCCTCATTAATCCTGAATGGAACGGAACCACCTGGAAAATGAACAGATTAAAAGGATATTTTGTACGGGGTGCTTACTGCCTATCCAACAGGCTACAGGTCTCAGCAGCAGCGACATTGTAGTAATTGGAACCATGGCTGGGGGTAGATCTCATTGACAATGAGATCCTTGATTGGGGTTGTTAAGCCGGGCCAATCAGGGAGCCCTGGCTGACAGATATAAACAGGACATTCAGAAGGTCTCCTCAGTCTAGGGACTGGCTCTGAGCAGGCTTGTCAGAGACCTTGTATTGTGTACATGGAGATAAAGGATGACTTGGTGACAGGATACCGGCCTTTGTGCAGTTATTTCAAACACCGAGCTGGATTTCTGTTGGGCAGCTGTATTAAAGGTAACATAACAATGATGGATAGATGGAATTAAGATATACAGCAGCCCTGATCCAAATCAACAGGCTTTGAGTGGATGAATGGACTCTTTCTGTTCCTTTAACTCTTCCTACACTTTGATGTACACTCAGGCAATCTGCCCTTGTTACCAAATTGATTGCGACTCACTCATACCAAATAAATTGGAATGATTAATCACATCAACCTCATCCTGAACAACAACTCCAAGGTTTCTGTGATGTTTAACTGTTCTGCAATGAGAGTCTGGTAGCTAATCTATGCTCGTTCTGCTTGATTAGTTATGCCTGGGTGTGGACCCAGAATAAAGGAAACACTGCTGTAGAAAGAGCTAGAACAGGTAGTTCTGGGAGCTTGATGTGCACAGATTTACCAACTTTCCTGAATTACACTTTAAAAATATTTGATTTGCCATGATGCACTTTGGGACACCCAGCAGTTGCGAATTGCTACATAAATGCAGGTCTTTATTTTCCTTGTCTTTCCCAACACAAAATCAAAAATACACCATGCTTCTCAAATTTGCAAATTGCATGTCCCAGTGATGTTGGCCCGGAAACAGAGACTCTGCAGCAACTTTGAGTCGAGGCTGCAAAGAGAAAATTGCAAAACAATAGAATACTACAGCACAAAGGATTCTGTAAATTCACTTGCTGTTTGTGAGGTTTTTCTTGGGCAAAGAGAGCAGTCTTTGCCTGAATTTGTGTGCACTTCAAACGCAATCCAAGGCATTTCAGGATGTCCCACTGTGTGACCTGTTGTAGCCCACAGCCAAATAGAAATTACTTCAGAAGGTACAGGCTGGAGCTATGAATGCACTCACCACTAGGTGGTGCAATTGTTGAAGAAATGCATCAATCAGCTACCTGTGCACAGGTAGAGGACAACTGTTTAGTGCCTATGCCCTAGGCAACTGCAGGTTTAAAACCAGGCAGAAGGGATTTCTTCACCTTGTTGCTTCATCATGCCTTTGTCATCTCAAGACTCACTTATCCTGACGTCCTGACATCTGGATCCACTTAAGTAAACTAAATGTTATCCAAATCTACAGACATAACGCAGTGTGGAGCTGGAGTAACACAGCAGGCCAGGTAGCATCAGAGGAGCAGGAAAGTTGATGTTGCGGGTTGGGACCCTTCTTCAGAAATGGTCCTGACTCGAAACGTCAACTTTCCTGCTCCTCTGACGGTGCCTGGCCTGCTGTCTTCCTCCAGCTGCACACTGTGTAATCTCTGACTCCAGCATCTGCAGTTCTTGCTCTCTCTAAGTTATCCAAATCCATGTTGTCCCTGTTCTAACTTGCACCAACCCCATTCCCCTATCATTCTTGCGTTCACTGATGTACACCATCTCCTGGTCAAGCAACATTTTGATTTTACAACGTTCGCCCTTGCTTTCAACTCCCTCCATGCCTTGCTCCTCCCTTCCTTTCGCTGTAATCCAGAAGGAAAATGCAGTAAAGCTGGTGACTGAGACACGCTGGTCCAATGTGTTTTGGATACTTCCAATTGGAGGACAAGTGTGACCACTGCACGAATTTCTAAGTAGGAACACTGGAACAGGAGTAGGCCATTCAGCCCCTTGAACCTGTTCCAGCATTCACTGAGATGATGGCTGATCTGTGGCCTAACACCATAGACATGCCCTTGTCCCATATCCCTTAAAATTAACAAGTGAACAAACGTCCCCCATTTGTAGAAGAGAGTTCCAAACCTCTATCACCCTTGGTGTATAGAAGCACTTCCTAAAATCTCTCCTGAATGGTCTGGTCCAAATTCTCAGACTATGCCCCCTAGTTCTGGAATCTCCAACCATTGGAAATAGTTTATCTTTCTCTACCCTGTTTGTTCCTGTTAATATCTTGAATACTTTGATCAGATCACTGCATAACCTTCTAAACTCTACAGAAAACTGGCCTAATTTGTCTAACCTGTTCTCATAACTTAATATAAAGTGTTAAAAGTTATTAGGTGCTTCCTCCCTTTCAACGCCAAGATCTCAGCGTTCCTCAAATTCTGGCCTCTTGAGCAGTCTTCAGCTGCCTGGGCCCCAAGTTCTGGCATTCCCTAGACCTCTCTGACACTCTACATTTCTTTCTTCTTTGAAAACAGGCTTTACCATGTTTATGGTTACTTCTTCCATATCTCTGCATGTAGCGACATATCCAATTTCGCTGTCTAATGCTGGAGGACATTAAAGCTGCCATGAAATGAGATTTCAGCTTGACCCTGCTTACTTTGTCTTCAATTTTGAACATCTCCCCACCCTCAGACTCAGCGCAATCGAGTTTTGGTAAAGATCTGTAGCTCGGGTTGTGGGTGAGGTTGTTGGCATGCTCACCAAGCTGGCTTGTTCTCGTTCAGATGTTTCATCACCATACTAGGTGACATCATCAGTGGAACCTCCAATGAAGAGATGTTACTCTATTCCAAGTGGAGTAAAATAACATCGCTTCATCGGAGGCTTCACTGATGATGTCACCTAGTATGGTGACGAAACGTCTGAACGAAAACAAGCCAGCTCGGCGAGATGTCAACAACCTCAGTGCGATCAATACCAAGGAAGCTCCCCTAGTAAGGTACATCACTATCCTGTAACAAGTAACGGGCTCACATGCTCCCAGTCTTGTTCAGCAGGCCAGGCCATAGAGAAACTTCTAGCAAATTGACCATCCCTGACCTCCCCATGACCTCTGGCCTTGGTATGCTCCCTCAATATGTTGGTACACTGAGAATGACAGGAAAGAAGGAACAAAAGGAGGCCATTCAGCCCCTCAAATCTGTTTAGCAGCCTTTGCAGGAGACTGTGATTGACCTGTGTCTTAAGGTACATTCACTTGGCTTGTCTCCATACTCCTTGCTATGTTGTCAGATATATAGTTATTAATTGAGGAAGTATCTCTTCATATTCAATTGGAAGTTCCTCACTTGTGCCACTTTGTGTGAAAGAGTGTTTTCTAACTTATCTCCAAGAGATATCATAACCCAATTTCAGGTCATGACCCTTGTCCTTTAAACGCCTATAGAGGGAGGTTCTTTTAATCTTGCTGAAAAGAGAGACAGGTTGCTGATGTGTTTTTGACTTGCTCTCATCAGGGCAAATGCAAGAATGCCAAATTTCAAAAGGCCCACAACAATTTATACCACAGGAGGAGGAGGTGCTGATTGGTTGATACTTGGTTAGCTGAGATGTTGCCATGGAGAAACTGATAGGGCTTGGTTTCCTGAGCTCCCTTGTAATTCCAAACGAAAAGGGACATCAACATATATGGGCCAAGCGCAGGCAGGTGGGACTAGTTTAGTTTGGGATTATGTTCGGCATGAACTGGTTGGACTAAAATGTCTGTTTCCATGCTGTATGACTCCATGACTCTATATTCATTTTGTTTTTGGAGACTGTGTCTGTGTGTGAAGGTGAATGCAGCAAATATTAATGAGCCACATTATGGGCTCAGCTGGTCATTTATTGGTACAGTTCCATTACCATGAGACCATAAGACATAGCAACAGAAGTAGGCCATTTGACCCATTCTGTCCAGTCTGCCATTCAATTCTATCATGGCTGATCTGATAATCTTCAACTCCACTTTCTTGCTTTTTTCCAATAACCCTTGATTCACTTACTAATTAAAAAATCTCCATCTCACATTTGAATATACCTAACAACCCAGCCTCGACAGGCCTCAGTGGTATAGAATTCTACATAGGTAGAAAAAAATTCCTCCTCATCTCTGTCTTAAGTGGGTAACCACCTATTCTGAGATTATCTCTTTGGTCCTAGTCTCTCCCACAAGGGGAATCTCTCCTCATCTACCCTCGCAAGCCCCTTTAGAATCTTAAATGTTTCAATAAGGTCATCTTTCATTCTTCCAAACTCCAATGAATACAGGCATAACTTAATCAATTCTTCTAAGGGAAATCCCTTCAATCAGTTGAGTGAACCTTCTTTAGACTTCCTCCAATGCCAGTATATCTTCCCATCGGTAACGTGACAAAAAAAACAGTCCAGAGTGTGTGTTATAATTGTTTCAAACTGTTCTAGGTGTGGTCTGACTGGTGCCTTAGTAATATTTCCTTATTTTTATACTCCATTCTCATATTATGGAAAATGTTTCTTTTCGAAAACTCAGCATGCTGATTTGGAATGGTAGGCATTGGGAAACACTCAAAACCTCACAAGGACTGACCCTCAGCTCTTTATTGCCCCACTAGCACCCCAAAAATGCAGGTCCATCGCCCCTCACCCTGTGATATATTTACCTGCTATTAGTTGATATGAGATGTTGGCAAATTGGCATTGGTACTGGTTTGGCAAGGAGTCCATTTGAAAGAACGTGCCAGGGTATGTGTTCTCGATAATTTGAACCTTCGAGTCCACTTCCCCAAAGCAGAGGTCTTCCGCTGTGATGTTGGCACATGGGGGTGGGCTTTTATTCACCACAATAACTATCACTTGGGCCTTACACTCCTTCTCCCTACGGGGTTCAGGAGCAGCAAAGATGTGGAGCGTGATCTTATACAATTCAGGTCCACCCATGTTACCTGCAACAGAAAGGAAGAGAAAGGTGACATGATTCTACAGCTGCTTGAGAAACTTTCACGCTGAATCCAAACTTACAAGGAGCCATTTTAACCCTCAGTATCCAGTAGGGAGCAATGTGGGACTCGGGCTGGAAGGCACAGAGTACACAATAAAACCTGGCTAACTTCACAAGTCATTTTTAAAGTTGATTTTTTAAGAAGCTGCAGTTTAAATGCACTGCATAGAAAAACAACGTGCAACTAGTCATACGTGAGAACTGTTTCCCAGTCCCTGGGATGAACAGAGAGGTTGTGTTCATTTGGTTGAGTGGAAATTCTTCCCCCAAGTCATCTTCCATCTGAAGAAGGTTTCCCTGTCCAGCACCTGTTTATTTCCTTTATTTCTAGGGACTTTTAAACTTTTCGTTCATGGGATGTGGGCCTCACTGGCTAGGACAGCATTTATTATCCAACCTCAGTCACTTAGATAAGAGTCTACCACATCACTGTGGGTCTGGAGTCACATGTAGGCCAGACCAGGTAAATTCCTTTTCCATAAACAGTACTTCAGCATTGCCTGGTAAGCGGTGGCATGGTGATAATATCCCTGGTCTGATCATCCAAAACCCAGCTTAATGTTTGAGGGGTATGGGTTCAAATCCCACCAGAGCAGATGGTGAAGTTTGCGTAACGTCAGCAAAGGGTCATGGGGGTCAGAGCCAAGGCGAGGGAGAGATCGGAAACCAGGAGGGTATTGGAGGGGAGGGCGGTAAGAGACTGGGGGCAATCTGGAAGAAGCGGGGGAGGCCCATCCAGCTCCTGGACCCTCCCTGCAACCACCTCTGGGCTCCCTGTCCTCCCACCCCCTTGCTCTGGGCTATTTATCCCTTTCCCACATGCTTTTTCCTTACCACTGAACCCCGTTTCAAAATGTATGTGCTTCCAAGCTACATTTGCACATGCAATCTCAGATAAATTCTCTGTGATGACTGATTGCATCTGTAGGCATGCGCTTTTCTGAATGGGTGTATGTTCATGGTTGGCTGCAGGCAGCAAACACTGATGTGAATTATTTAGAATGAAGCTGTTCTAATGGTGAGCATGTACCCACTGTAATGAAAACAACAAATACTGGAGACCACAGTGGGTCACTCGAAGCTCTGATGAGGAGTCATCTAGATTCGAAACATTAGCTTGCTCTCTCTCCATGGATGCCATCTGACTCGCTGTGATCTCCAGCATTTGTTGTTTTCAGTACAGACTCCAGCATCTGCACTAATTTGCTCGTACCCTATGTAGCCACTGTTGATTGTTGTAAAACTCCATCCGGTTCACTAAATGTCGTTTCGCGAAGGAAATCTGCTGTCCTTACTTGGTCTGGCCTACTTGTGAGTCCAGACCCACTGCAATCATCTGAAATGGCCTACTTGGCCAATCAATTCAGGCACAGTTAGGGATGGGCAACAAATTTCAGCCTTCCTAGTGACCCCTACATCCGAAATCATGAGGGCCATGAACAGGCTGAATAGCCAAGGTCTTTTCCCCATGGTAGGGGAGTCCAAAACTAGAGGGCATATGTTTAAGGTGAGACAGGAAAGATTTAAAAGAGACCTAAGGGGCAACTTTTTCACGCAGGGGGTGGTGCGTGTATGGAATGAGCTGCCAGAGGAAGTGGTGGAGGCTGGTACAATTGCAACATTCAAAAGGCATCTGGATGGGTACATGAATAGGAAGGGTTTAGAGGGAAATGGGCCAAATGCTGGCAAGTGGGACTAGGTTAATTTAGGATATCTGGTAGGCATGGACAAGTTGGACTGAAGGATCTGTTTCCGTGCTGTACAACTCTATGACTCTAATTGAATAACTGCTGGCCTTGTCAGCCATGCTCACATCCCAAGAATGATCATTTTAAAAAAATTACATGAATACTAATTTTACTGATCACTCTTGTGTTATCCCACTCTTATTAAATCTTAACGGGTTTATTGCTATACGATTCCATCATCCCCAACCAGCATCACTATTGAATGAGAATAGACATCCTCACCCAGCAGTTGGAGATCACTCTCCTCCAGTGTCTTGTTAAGGTAAAAGACGCCAGATCTCTCATCGATCCGAAACCACTGGTGTCGAAATCCATTCAACAGATTGTTGCAGAACCCAAAGTAGGCCGTGCGATCCCCTTCGTCAGGTAAAGCATAAACCTGGAGCAGTGGAGTATCTGCTGGTTGTCCAACGTACACTGTGGTCTGGTAGGTCTTCCTGGGGAAGTACAGGCCGAGCACAACTGGAACAGAGGGGGAAGTGCAGGAGAGACAGAGAGAAAGGGACAGGCCGATTCGAGGGAAAGAAAATATATGGGTGGTAAAAGACAAATGAAAAAGAGAAGAAAGGGACGGAAAAATTGAGGAGATGAAGAGGTGAGATCGAGAAAGAAGGGGACAGAAAAAGGAAATCAAATATTTTGAGTAAATGGTAGAACTGTCAACAGTCAAAATCTCTGCAGTAGAAAACATGCAAGACACTAAACCTTTAAAGTTTATTAATTCTGCTCTAAATTTACCTTCTGGCTGCCGATTCTTCTTGTTCAATCACAATATGTAACTGTCTTTCATTTACTCTCACATTAAATGAATATTGGTGCCTGAATGTTCAACATAGATTCCATAACAAACAGATTTTAACTGGTGTACATGACTCCAAGCTGACCGCAACACCAGCAATTTTGATTTTTAGGTAAATAGTTGCACAATGACGTTTGGTGCCCATGTATTATTCAAAACGTTTCTTCATATTAAACCATGACATTATAACACGAGGGAAGATGCTCAAAGGGCAAAAGATAAAATTACGACTTTGTCTCGGAAGATGTCTTTCACACGAAGCGATCGACACAGAGAGTGGGAGGCCAGTACAGACCCAAAGTCGATACACATTTAATTAACAGTTGGATCTTTGGTCAAGAGGACTGTGAGATCAGCGTTAGCTGTGGGGTGCAAACTCATTGCCGATTCAGAAAGCTGAGGGTTCAAGACCCACATTCCAAGACTTGGAACAAGACTTTTGACGCCAAGTGGGATCAAGGATGGAGGTGGGCAAGGGTAAGAACATGAGCTTTGTGTCCAGCATGCCAAGTGCTGGTACCAGTCCATCCTGGTCTTTTTCCTGGAAATGGAGCCTACAGCAGACAGGGCATCTGAAAATGCTGAGCGGTGAATTGAAGGCAGTTCATGGCCAATTGGCAAGGGCAGTCGCAATTTTTCACCATTTCAGAGACAAACTGGGCAGCACACCCATCTGTAAATTTATTCCTCATGTTGTCGGAGCAGACTGAATGTTCAGGGAGTAAGATTCTATTGCCTTTTACATGATGGAATCCCATGCCGTAATACCCTCCAGCTGTCTTAGAGGTACAGTGCCTTTCTGAGATCTGTGCAATAAGAGAACAAGTGGAATGTCCAGTTCATGCACTAACCATTGACTCTGCAAAATCCTGCTATTATCTCATCTCTTTATGGTGATACAGGTGAGCAGCCAGGGCCCGTAGTCGTACAAGGCTGGAGATGCCCAATCTCTGAAGCTAAACGGACATAGACCTGGTTCATATTTGAATAGGAACACCGGGTGCAGTAGGCTTAAAGGACACTTTGGTGCAGCAGTAGTGTCCCTACCTCTAAATCAGCAGGCCCAGGTTCAGGTTCTACTGCTCCAGAAATGTGTAATAATATTGCTGAATAAGTTGTTTGGAAAATGTCTGCAAGTGTTGAGTCTCAACTACACACAAAAGACACTAGGACAACTAACATCTGACTCAGGGCAATTGGCCAGGAATGGTGGGATGACAAAACCTCAGAAACCCACTTCAAAAAGCAGGCAGAGAGACGCTGATCTTTTAGAGTGATCATTGCTGCATAACGGGATTTTATCTGCAAATGCATTACAACAGCCTTTACAACAACTCTACTCCAACTGAGCTTAAAGATTTTATTTGCTTAAAAGGTAAACAGCTGTGCTGATAGGAATGGAACAGTGGAAACAGCAGGATCATATGTTTTGAGACAGCACAGTGGCTCAGTGGTTAGCACTACTGCCTCACAACACCAGAAGGCCTTTGACAAGGTGCCACACAGGAGGCTGCTGAGTAAGATAAGGGCCCATGGTGTTAGAGACAAGGTGCTAGCATGGATAGAAGGTTGGCTGTCTGGCAGAAAGCAGAGAGTCGGGTTAAAAGGGTCTTTCTCAGGATGGCAGTCGGTGACAAGTGGGGTACACAAGCGTCAGTGTTGGGACCACAACTCTACACTTTATGCATTAATGATCTAGATAAAGGAACTGAGGGCATTCTAGCTAGGTTTTCAGATGATACAAAGACAGGTGGAGGGACAGGTAGTATTGAGGAGGCGGGGAGGCTGCAGAAGGATTTAGACACGTTAGGAGAGGGCAAAAAAGTGGCAGATGGAATGGAAAACTGTGAGGTCATGGACAATGCTAGGAGGAATTGAGGCACCGAATACTTTCTAATTGGGGAGAAAATTCAGAAGTCTGAAGTGCAAAGGGACTTGGGAGTCCTAGTTCGGGTTTCTCTTAAACTAAACTTGTAGGTTGAGTCAGTAGTTTGGAAGGCAAATGCAATGTTGGCATTTATTTTGAGAGGACTAGAACATAAAAGCAGGGATTTACTTCTGAGGCTTTATAAAGCTCAGGTCAGACCACAGTTAGAGTATTGTGAGCAATTTTGGGCTCCATACCTCAGGAAGGGTGTACTGGCCCTTGAGCGGGTCCAGTGGATATTCACAAGAACGCTCCCAGGAATGAAAGGCTTAACATATGAGGAACGTTTGAGGACTCTGGGTCTATACTCAATTGAGTTCAGAAGGGTGAGGGGGATCTAATTTAAGCTTACAGAATACTGAATGGCCTCGATAGAGTGGACATTGGGAAGATGTTTACTTTGGTAGGAGAGACCAGGACCCAAAGGTACTGCCTTAGAGTAAAGGAAAGGCCCTTTAGAACGGAGATAAGGAGAAACTTCTTCAGCCAGAGAGTGGTGAATCTATGGAATTCACTGCCACAGAAGGCTGTGGAAGCCAGGTCATTGAGTACATTTAAGACTGAGATAGGTAGGTTCTTGATTATCAAGGGGATCAAGGGTTACGGGGAGAAAGCAGGAGAATGGGGTTGAAAAACTTATCAGCCATGATTGAATGGCAGAGCAAACTCAATGGACCAAATAGCCTAATCTCTGCTCCTATGTCTTACGGTCAAACAGTGAATTAATTCAATAATGTTTTCAAATTAATGCAAGTGGCATGTCCAAACTAATTAAGAAATATGGAAACCAATTTTTCAGTGGTACGTTCAGCTAGAACAGGGAGTTGGTGAGAACTTTCCAAGCATGGATGTCTTCAAATGCAACACTCAAAAATTAATCTTGTGTTGGCGAAGATCTGGTGACAAAAACAGTCATGTTTTCAGCCAGAGACTTTAGAATTAAAAATGCAGAAGCAATTACACTTGAATCCTTGCTTAATACCTCCTCGCAGACCCCCTCTGCTGGTTCATGTGTGTCTAGTAGCCTCAATTGGGACAAAACACACAACACAATTTTCAATACGCTGCAGTGCTGAGCCAGTCTCATGTGTAGAACACATTAGCTAATCTGGAATTGAAATTGTGAAATTAAAAAGTTAGGGCAACACTCATGACGGAAAAAAGAATGTAGAGTATAAGAATGGAAGAGTCGTTGTTAAATTCAAAAAGGGAATTCATAAAAATATCCTTCACTGAAACATCAGTGGTTTACACTGAAATAGAAACTTTAATGTCCCAAGGTATTTCATAAAAGCAGTGGAAGTTGGGTCAGCTCAGTTGGCTGACTTGCTGGCCTGTGATACAAATTAATACAACAGCATGGGTTCAATTCCTACCCCAGCTGAGGTTACCACAGAGGACTCTCCTTCTCAACCTCTCCCCTCATCCAAGGTGTGGTTCCTCTCAGGTTAAACCATTGTCCGTCATCTCTCTCAACTGAAAGAACAGCCGTGTTGTCTGGTAGGGCTATGCTTTTCCAGCAACCTCTGTTTTTGTCCCATAGCAATGTGGTTGACTCTAATCCACTCTCTGAAAATGGTTTAGCAAGGCACTCAGATCAAGGGCAGCTAGGGACAGGCAATAAACACTCACAACCCACAAGTGAATTTTTAAAAATGGGCTGAATTAATCTACAGCACAGAAACTGACCAATGCAGTATAGATCCATATGAAATAACACTGTAACATGTTGACTGTTTCATGTTATAGCATGTTTCCTTAGGGAAGTATCATATTTTCTGACATGCCATTAGCAATAGCTTAGCATTCTTTAATATCACAAAAGTTTAATGACAGACTGTCAAGTCACATCATCACACTTCACAGAGATAGGTTTGGAGGGGTGAGGAGGTGTGGAAGGGGAGAGAGACCTCCACAAGTTTAAGGTTCAGACGCCTGGAAGTATAACTGCAAGCAGTGCAGTGACTAAAACTGGGCATGTGCAAGAGGGAAGCAATGAAGAATCAGAGCAGTGCGGAGATCTCAGAGAGTTGTGGGGCTGGAGGAGTTTGCAGGGAGAGTGAGCAGGGAGGCATTTGAAAATCAAGAATGAGAATTTTAAAATTAAGCAGTAGCTAATGTAAAGTACTGAGAATGAGGTACACTAACAGCTTTTGAGGATTATGAAAGACTTGAAAGATATCTAGTGTTGGTTTTTTTTTGTCATTGTTGCCAGTTTTCACAAAAATACATTTTATTTTGAAAAAAGGAAATGAGATTCTCCTCAGCCAGTTCAGGTGGAACAGCTTGTAAGAAATGCAAGAGATGCATTTCTGGTTCTATAATTTCTGGACAATTCAAACAGAATACATTAACAGATCGTGGCAGCTCCGATGGATACTGTGAGAATTGAACCATTGTCTGGATAGGAATAATGTCTTATTTAGTTCGCCTTTTTTAGTTAGAGCTCCAGAATTTTATTTTATTCACTCACGGGATGTGGGTAACACTTGATGGGCTAACATTTGATGTCTGTCTCTAGTTGCCCTGGAGAAGGCAGTAGTGAGCTGCCTTCTTGAACTGTCTTGTAGGTAGATGCACCCACAATTCTACTGGGGAG